AATTCATTCACTTGGCTTGCTTTTGCTGTGTGTTTGGATCATTACTCATCTGTAATGGGAACTTCTGTGCCATCAGTTTTGCAGCATTTAACTGAATCTGACAAGTGGTAGCAGAATTCCTCCTGCTATTTCTATCAGCAGTCTTAGATTCATGTTATTTCCTGTGAACCATTTGAATGCAAGTTCAACAGTTGAACGTCACTTCAGACCTGTTATCTGCTTAATTGATGCACACGTCAACGTACAGATGTTTATTAGAGATTACTTTTAAGCCTCAATCAAAATCAAAAGCAAGGTCATGAGTTAAAAGATAACTACTTCAGTTTTGGAAGGCACTGCACGTTTTTATTGTCCGCACAACTGTTTCAATCAGTCAAACATTAACTACAGAGTGCAATGATCTTTTACCTCGTATGAATCTTTTAACTTTAACGTCTAACCTAAGTAAATGTCATATGCAGACTCCTTTAAAATGCTTTCATACACTGTTTTCACGCCATTCATTCCATAAACAACACCCCAGCCTGTTGCAACCTGTAGCTCTAATAGCACCGTCTTTTATCAGCAGAACTGCTCTTTAGGTCATTGAACCAAAGTTTACAGATAAATATAGATTAATACTTGCACTCAGTAACAATAAACATAATCGTACTTTACCTGCATCAAAATTGCTGGTCCATCTGATGGCCAGGAAAGCAACAAATATACAACTAAAAATAATCTTTATGAAAGCTTCCATTTTTAACAGCTGGCTGCTAGTTGTTTTGAAGTGTTGGGCTTTAGACAGTTCATGTTTGAGGACACAAACTGCCTTTTATGCAACCGCATCCCATTCACACTCCTCCTGTCACTCTGTAAGGAGGCGTGTTTTCAAAAGTGGTGAACTTCAATAAGGCCCGCCCTCAAATGCAAAGAGAAAGTGCTTTTTTATCAACACATTTCCTTACAGTAGCTTTAACTTTTTATTTAATAAACTGCACAGTGTTTGATTTAATTAGCAATAAATAAATCCAAAAAGATAAGACATCAAATGCCAGTTTTAGTCTGTCATGTTTAGCATCTACATGGATGTTAAAAAAAAATCACCCACAATAATTATTTATCTGAGCTGAGCACTAAATCAGACAAAAAGCCTGAGAAATCAGACAGAAACTCTGTGTACAGCCCAGTTGGATGATAGATGATAACAAATGAGACTGGTTTTTGAGTTTTCCAGTTGGGGTGGACAAGGCTAAGCATCTGGCTTTCAAATGAATTCAAACTCAGTCTTGGTCTTTGATTTTGGTTTAATAATCTAGTGTGGAAAATTGCTGCCACACTGCACCCTCGGCCTGAGCTTCGAGGATTCTGACAATTAGTGTTGATTCGTTTAAACTAACATAATCATCCTGCTGTAAACAGGTTTCTGTCAGGCAGAGTAAATCAATTTGTTGATCAATTATTAGTTAACATACTAACAGGGACTCAGAAGGAATGAGAACTAGCTTTACAGGTATACATAGTTACTCAACAGTCACCACAGATATGATGAGTCCCAGGGACGTCACTAGGTTTTAAGGACAGGGGGGGCTTAGCCCCCAAGAGATGCACACGATATGAACGAACGTAGTGAATGAGCACAAAATTTCACAAACAGAAAACAAGACTGAGAAATTGTTTTCCTACTTTTTTGGACAGATTAAACATCCTAGGCCACCAATAGATCTATTGTTTTATTTCAGTCTGTTTTATAATACAGTACAACAAGAAAACAGAAGAAATGTGTTTGCTGCATCAATAACAAGAAAAAAACTGAAAATAAAAAAATACATATTTTTATGGCTTCAATTGCCAGTTACTTGGTGGGTGGAAGCATCAAAGAATGACGTCTATTTAAGTGACGTCTATTTAAGTGCTATTTATGACACTATGTTTGCACTGAAGCACCGCAGCAATTTCCTAATGTTGTAAACCTGCTCAACATTTGGCAATAAACCCCTTTCTGATTCTGATTCTGATTCTGATTAAGAGTGGCAAATCGGTCAATCACTCTGTTGTGACTCAGATGCTTTTTCATGTCTTTTTCAATAGACATGACTGCAAGACCGTGAAGTCTTTTCTGACCCATTGTTTGACGCAGCCAGGAGTGCAGCCGACGCAGTGCAGCCGACGCAGTGCACTAAAGGACCTTTCGCACGAGCAGCTGCTGACAGGCACTGTTAGGGCAACTTGGATGGTTGCCTTCAGAGAGGGAAACATGTCTGAATCGAGGAGGTTGTACACAGACAACATATTTTTGGGTGGACATCCAGCCTCTGTTTTCCGGGTAAGAAAGTTTCTGGCCACCAGAACCTCCTCTTTTTTCAGGTCAAGTCTATAGTGCTTTGCAAGTTCATTCAAGTGTGGTTCACTCAAGAAGTTCTCAGATTTAGGACTGCATGCCTGGATGCCTTTTAGCAGCCCTGCGTCTACACTGCAAAATCTTTGATCAAGCTCGCCAACCATCCGATCCACACAAGGGAAAAGTAACTCTCTTTTCAATGTGTCTGAGTTGTTCAATTCAGTGCGTGAACCCACAGTTGCCTCCAGGACAAAATCCTCCATTTTCCTCTGCTTGTGCCTTGTCTTGGCACCTGGTTCAGGGATACTGTGGGTGTTACACAGGGCCTTGGTTTTCTCATACAGCTCTGTAGCAAATGCATCTGAGTGTTTGCCCTTAAGTGTCTCACACACAGCTTGTTTGCAGATAAAAGCTTCTGCCAGGTCTAAAGTCTCTTTCTGCAGGAATTTGTGGAGTCCTTCGGTTACAGACAGAAACATCAGTAGTGCATAGACTGCTGAGAACTTGTAGAGCTTTGCTCTGAGACCAACAGCTATGGGGGATCCAATTGCAAAAAAAAATTGAACAAATAAAATAAATAAATAAATAAACACCAAATTATTTAGGGGGGCTTAAGAATATTTTAGGGAGGCTTAAGCACCCCTAAAATAGGCCTAACGACGCCACTGATGAGTCCTCCATACTGTCACTAGATGGTGCTGAGGTCTCAATATTAAAGCAGCTCTAACCCTCATATTCTCCTCAAATATTACTATCATAGGCAATGGTTCACATACAATTGTGAACCAACATCAGTGAAATAGTCAGAACATGGAAATGTTCTTGTCCAGCAGTCAAGTGTTTTGTCTGCATTACTGTACACATGATGTGCAGAGAGTGTGTGCATGCTCCTTGCAGATATATCTCTTGCATTGTGCACAGGTCTTCCTAATCTTTGAATCACTCCTGGTGGGACAAACCTGGCACCTGCCTGTGGTTTGTACCACTGGAAAATTTGGGCTGAGACTTTTCTTTCTGTTACTTTGCTTTCTGTTAAGTCTCCTTTTCTTTGGTTTTGCATTTCTAATTATTTCTCCCGAGTCCACATGCTGGCTTTCTTTATGAGCTTGGCTCTCTGCTTCAGGAGAGCTGTGGTCACTTTACTCATAAGGAGGAATCTCCATAAAGGTATCAGTCTCCTGCTTCAGTCCAACCTGCTCGCCCTCATGACTTCTACAAAGTTCCTCCTGTTACTCTTTAATCTGTGGAGGCTCTGGGCCATCCTGGTCCAGACTGGAGTTCCTCTCCTGCTGGTCTGTGAGAACCTTCTCCTCGTAAACATGCTGCTGTTAGAGGTCTGAAAAGACAAATACAGAATAAAATGGCAGAAAACAAACATTTGAGGAATATATACTGTTCTGAACCATTAGCAGGTGGCTCACATTTACCAGTGAAATTTAACGTGCACATATGTGACCAATTATTTGGGCGCTGATGCAGATGATGGTTTAGTCATAAAACATCATCTGCCAGTACTGACATCATTACTCCAGTGCAGTCACCTTCTTGCCTGCCTTCTGTGAGCTAATCAGCCTTTTAAATCTCAGTGCTCTTTTGACTTTCTGCCTTTTACACTCTCATTGTGCAACCACTGAACCTAGCCATGTGGGAAGGCACAAGCCCATTACTGCCACCTAATGGACTGGAGTGTGGAGAGAAGAATTGCAGGGGGAAAAAATCAAAAACTATATTCTTTCCATCAATTTTATAATTTGAAGATACTGATATAACAGATTGCAAATTTTCTGTGTTTCCTTCCTTGTGCTGGTAAGCTACGGTGAAACTTTAGTTTTGGTCAATTTCTTTCAACCAGTCTCTGGATCTTTTGAATATGAATATTTTACATTAAAGTTGATCTATAAGTCTTGTACTACTATTCCTTGTGATATTCTTTTTGATTTTTCCTTTCAACTTGTGCTGCAGACTTGGATCAACAGACCACATAACAAGTATCATTAATCATTATTTTAAATAATATGGTTTATTTGAAGAGTTTCAGTCAGGTTTCAGAGCTTCAAATAGTTTTCTTCCTATTCAAAAGGGAGTTTTTCCTTCCCACTGTCACCAAGTGCTTTGTCAAAGGGGGTCATATGATTGTTTTATGTATTATTGTAGGGTCTACCTTACAATATAAAGTGCCTTATTGACTGTTGTTGTGATTTGGCGCAGTATAAATGACCTAGGTTTCGTTGTGCCTGTGGCTGTCAGTCAAAGCAGACAATTGCAATAGTAGGCTAACCTTTTTGTAGCTCCATAATTAAACACTAATAGTGGCATTGGGGTTAGCACATACAAGAAAAAATCTAAATTTAAAGTTATTAGGTCTTCATACCTTCAAGGTGCAGAACAAATATTTCACTGGCAAAAAAAACATTTTTTTCCATTTGCTTTTATGTGCATTATCATACCTCACGTTATTTCATTCTTGACTTTGTTTGCTTTGGGCTTCTCTATTGTGTCACCCAAGTAGCTTCCTGACTGCTCTTCTCCACTAAGCTGTACTGACCTGGAATATGCTAAACTGCATTTTATGGTAAAAAGATATTTCTGTCAGACTATGGATGACTTATGTGGTCTGTTATTATGATCTACCTTTCCTTCCTTTCATTAACCACAATTAACACCAACAAACATGTCAGGAGGAAGCTGGTTTATTTTTTTGTGTTCATTATCAGCAGCAACAGCAGCAACACGAAACGTATTCATTTATTTCATAACCAAATCTCATGTGAGGTATTGTGTCTGTGTGTGGGAGGGCTGAATGGAGGGGTGAGGTTGTCTTATCAGTAGTAAATCAGACTTTTTTCTTCTGAGTTTTCAAGTACTAGTGCAATAATGTTTGGACAGCAGTGGCTGTACTATTGACACAGACACTAATGTCTAAAATGTTAAAATAGTAGCCTAAAAAGTAAAATCCCAAGTCCTGAGCTTTTCTATCTGTATACATTTTATTACTGGACTGTTCTCAAAGAAATGATGAGAAAAGTGGAAACTGAAATGTCAGAAATGTTCCCGCAAAACTGGGTGCATCAAAATGTCAAAGAGCTAGGCCAAAATCCAAATTAAATGTTGATATTTATAATTAGGAACATGTATAATTGTGCTTCAGTTGTGCTGAATAAATGCTCTTCATGGGATGTAGTTGTAGGAGTTCTGGGTCATATAATCTGTGAGAGAAGGAAACCAGTCTTTGGTGATAACTATAAAGTATGTGAACCAAGGGTAGAAAAGCTCTGGCTGCCTTGTAGATCCCGTAATGATGATGTTCAATGCAGCATCTGTGGCGGGGTAGGCTGGTACATCAGTGACGCCCCTAGGATAGAGAAAATTCTTACACTTAATTCAAAAATATCTCAAAATACACAATGTCAAATATTTCTGCATACATATATTTGACTAACCGGACTTTCTCCATAGCTGAGTCGGTATCAATGAGACCGAGTGTGCAGACAGAGATGGACACGTTGCTCTTCTTCATAGCCAGCTCATGACGAAGAGACCCAAAGAACCCGTTCAAGGCAAATTTGGTTGAGGAATATGGCGCCACGAAAGGAGAAGTTATTTTACCTGTGAAGCATCAACAACTGTTAGAGTAGGAGAAGCGTCTTCAGTAGCTTTCTTGGAGCTTTCAAACACTGTCAGAACTGGTTACGACGGGGAGTCAAAGTCCATTTTAAACGCATTAGAGAACTGCTCTTTTGCTCAAGCCTGTGTTTAATATTGCTCTTGTAATCGTCTGTTATTGTATATGATTCACAAATTTCTATTCATTTGTCTGTACTGAATGTCAGTTGTTTGGTGTAACTTCTGTTTCCCCTTTGGCCATTTCAAATCTCTGAGCTCTGGAAGTCCAACTTTTCATCTTTTGGTCTAGTTTAGCTGTTCTCAAACTGTGTTAAGGGGCTCTGCTGAGGGGCCCAGCGCCACTGCAGAAGGGAAGGTGGGCAGGTAATGAGCAGGAAAAAATAACCAACTTGATGCAGGTAAAATACTTTTCTTAGAGTTTGCTGATTCTAATATACTGACCTTTAGTTCACTTTTCAACTTTGGTCACTTTTATTCTAACAAAGCTTCTTTCAACTGCTCCCTGAATCACAAACCACAATGGATGGTTTTGGAAACTGTACTTCTTAAAGTACTTTTATTGCACCATGTTCATTCACTCATGAGCTGCTGTAACATGAATCAAATGGCTGAATTGCCACCTCAACATCCAGTCAAGTTCTGTAGAGTCTTGCTAATGACCTACTAATTTTATTCAGGTGTGTTGCAGCAGGGACACATTTAAAAGTTTCAGGACAACAGCCCTCGAGGACTGGAGTTTGACAACTGTGCTCTAGGGGAATACCCAGGCATTCCCATGGTACCCAATAGATCTAATTTCTCCTGTCATACTTGTGTGTGCCCTGAGGCCTCCTGCCAGTCTGACATGCCAGGAGAGGTCTACTTAAGAGTTCTACTTAAAGCACATTGTAAATGACTGAGGTCCTCACCCTATCTCTAAGAGTGAGCCCAGACACCCTGTGAAGGATACTTTTTTCAGCCACTTGTATCTGCAAATCTTATTCTTTTGGTCACTACCGCCAGCCCATATAAATAAACGAGCATAACAAGGTAGACTGACCAGGAAATCGACAGCTTTGCTTCTGCGGTCAGCTTTGTGGTCACTTTCATGCTTCATATTCCTCAACTTCCTACCAAAACTTAGGCTCCTTCCCCATTAAAGATGTCCCCACGTCCCTTACAGCAAAAAAGCCAACAACTAGACTATCAGTACTTGTGACTTTGACTGGCGCCCAATCCAGAAAACACTTTCCCTCTACAGATTTTCCTGCAGTACCCATGGTACAATAGACCTTTTGGGCTTGTTTTAGTTGAGCTCCACAAGAATTTATGGCCCAGCCACCTGGTGCACACAATCAAGCTCCAGAGTGGCTTATTAACTCTTGTCATCATAATACATTAAGTTAATCTTAATTACTGTATTACTGTACTTATTTATCAGTTGCAGTAGAAAGTGCCTTTAAAAAATGTCAGTTTAATTGTATCTGGTGGGTGAAAGTATTAGGAGGTATATATGTGTACACACAATTTGTATTTGATAGTTTGTCATCATCTGCATAAAAAAGTATAAAGTATAAAAATGCTGAAGAAAAATAAACCTACCTAAGAGCGATGAGACAACAACCAGCGATCCTTTATTTTGCTCAAGGGAGGGCAAAGCTTTCCAGGCCATCTGAATATAGCTGAAGAAATTGACCTTCACAAAGAAACATTCATGAATCAGCATAGTCTCTCCATTTCCTGTTTTGAATGACCATCAAAATACTCAGTTACCTTCATCAGCCATTTGGTGTGATCCACATCTCCCTTCCACATGCTGAAGGGGCTAGGCCCAATGTGATTGAGGACCAGGTAATCCAAACCTCCCAGCTTCTCCAGAGCATAATCCACCACTTTGTCAGGGTCAGCCTCATTCGCCATGTCTGCTGCTATATAAAAAGCTTTCTGGGCTCCTAAACTCAGACATTTTTCTACTACCTAAAGGCCAAAATTATTAAAAATGCACATGGTTAGTTAATTGAGAGAACTACAGAATGTGTCTATTCATAACTGTCACAAACCAACACAAGTAAATGGCAATTTATGAGCAGAATTTCAACAGTTTATTACGTAAACTGACCTGCTGTAAGACTTTCTCCCTCCTTGCTGTGATAACAATTTTGGCTCCAAAGCGGGCATAATGATACGCCATTTGTTCACCAATACCTGTACTGGCCCCAGTCACCAGTACCCTAGCCCCTTTGAGAGAATCTGAAACAAAGGTTTACCGTATTCAACACGGAATGGAATTGTTTTAATACATGAAAGGTTAATAGAAACAACAAAAATATGTTATTTCTATTAGTCAACAATAAATAGAGTAAATGACCACAGTAACTATGGCATACATTATTAATGTGTCTATGCATGCAGAAAAAGTTTTTAAGTGAACTTGATGACAATGAAATAGTTTCCCATATGGAAAAGATATATATAAATCTTATAAAGTTTGTATCTGTCTTGTGTGAAACTTGTATGAAAAGCATACAAGAGTGAAAACAGATATAAGACCCCTTGAAGAATTATATAATGAAACTTGTATGTTTTGGATACTTACTAAAACAATATATGAAAGTAATGAGAAAGTGGCCACTTTCATGAGTAAATCATATAAGTTTTTACTATTTCTTTTCCATATGGGTTAGTTTATCTAGAATCATTCTTTAGGCAGATATAAACCCTAAAAAGATAAGATAAGCTTAGCCCTCCATATATTGCTTCAGGTCAAAGGGCATTTGAAACTTTTCCATCTTGAGAAATTGCAAAATGCATACTCTTCATTTGGACTAGTAAAATGCTTGGATATTGGATATTTATTTATTTCACCAGAATTTCCATGCTGTATTTTGTTTTTGAAGGTCCCATATCACTTGTTTGTTGCTTTAATTCTTTGCCTGGTGCTATAAAGATTTAAATATCCTGCAGGTTTGAAAATTTTCACTCCCCATGCTGGAGAATGGAGCCATATGTCAGTACCGTTTTCCCCTCAAAGGTTTAGCTAAATGTGCTATCAACTGCATGTTCTCTCTCTCTTATTCCACTTCTTATTCCCATTAAGGGTTAGGGTTCATGAAGCAGACATTCAAACTGCATTTTATTACTAACCAAAGCAAACACAAGGCATCTGAAACAAATCGTCCTGCGCTGTCGTACATTTGTGAAATATAGGCATTTAAGCTTTAAAAAAATGTGGTATTTTATAAGGTCACAGTGTTGCAGAGTAGAGCACATGGGATATGCAAGTATACATAACACTAGTTCACTGACATGGACCGCATAATTTCATTGCTTGCGGAAAATTGACTCTACAGTGTGTTCTCAAAATGTGAATAAATGCTGGATTCTCTCTTTGGTAAGGCCTTGGTCACATGCGGAGAGCAGATTATTATCAATTACTCGCTCACTTTGTACTGTTTCTAATACATTTCTTGAACAAATCATTAAATTGTTACTATTACCTTTCCAAATTGGCAGTAATACACACCCACACCATAAAACTGCCTTTTATTTGTTAATAATGTGGCATGTATTCTATTATTTCTATAATTCTAATATGAATTGTTGGTTTAATTTTTTCAGATTTTATGTATAATTTTTTTTTAAATAGCAAAGTCTGACCTGGCATTTTTACTCAGAATGCTGATATCTATAGATATCTGCTGTTGTTTTTGTTGTTTTCCGGGCCTTCTGTACATTATTTTTTTTCAAGAATGTAACTGGTAATTTAAACATTCCTGTGGTTTCTGGTTTTATAGCTCATGTTTTTGCTTTTTCAGCCTTTGATTCCATCACTAATTCTTTGAAACCCATATTGAACATGCAAATTGATTTCTTGGACTCAACTTCAGATCTTTTATCTCCTTAATCTGGCTACACCTGACCATAAAGCCTCAAATTATTGGCCCGGGTGCTTTTGAGCTTCAAAAATCAAATCAAAGTTGACTGCACATGTATTAGATATCTATTAAAAACAGACTTCATATGTATAACAAACAAGAAAAAAAAAACAAGAAAATCCGTCATGATTTAATTCATAATAATTAGGGAAAAAATGACGTAAAATATTGTAATTATGACCATAATAGTGAGGTGTTACGAGATACTAAGTTATAACTGTGACATAACCGAGTAGGCTATTTAGCTGTTTTCAACTTATACATTGCAAATCCATACCACGCATATGTATGGACCACTGTAGGTCCAACACCACCTAACACATTATTGTCTGCTGGACAAACCTGCATGCCTGCTGCAAGTTTGCAACTAAAAACAAACAAGTACTTTCTCACAATGACAAAGAACAGAGTTTACCAGCATCAAATCTGGGTGAAGTCCATTTGGCAGCCAGGAAAGCAACACATATACTAGCTAAAAGAATTTTTGTGACAGCGCCCATTATGGCAGTTTGGTAGCAACTGATCGGAAATGCTAAGCTTTAGAAGTTTCTGCCAACTTTCACAATCCCAGTTTGAGAAAACTAAGCCCCTCCTTCCACTTTGTAAGGGGCGGGGGTTGGTCAGATAGGTCTGCCCTCTTTCATGGACACAAATCATTTTTTTGTTATTTTAATACTTTAAAAAAAATCTATCTATTTTTTTAATTTATCGAAGCGCCAAAATCTTTAATTTATTTGCCTATACATTTATAGTATATTGTTACTATTGCTACAAAAAAAAATCAAGGCTGACGAATCTGCGCCTCTGAAATTACATCCGCCCTTACTTTTGAAATAGCAACTTTATTTACACAACGCTGGTGCACACGGATCATCAAGCAGGGTTGTCCTTCAGTACAGCTAACCAGCTAGCCTGATCTACGGCTCATTGTCGGAGTTCTCGTAATAACAGCTTCTTAAAGGAGAATAGACCGCGCTGAACGATGGCGACGAGGATTTGGCCTGTTATGAAGTTAGTATTTTTATTTCAACTCCCGCGGTTCCCTATACTATTACTGCTCTAAATGCTCTTATTGGTAATTAAGCTAACTTAGGCTAAGCTAGCTGTCAGTCATACCAGGTCATTTTCAGTTGATTTCGTTTTAGCTCCAAGTTTAAGACTTAAAATATGCTTTTCTTTATGGAGTTAAACTTGGGCTGATATATTAACTCTCTGAAATAACGTGAGCTTATGTGGGCGATTGTAAATTTCCCAACTATTAACTGCTAACTTGGCATCAAAGAATAATTTGTTGTTTACTTTGATAACAACGACGTGTGTCTGTAGTTTCAGTTTGCCCTGTTGGGAAATTGTGGTATTTCAGATTAATTGCATTACTGCATCTGTTCTTTCATTTCCAGACTGGCCACCAAGGTGACCATTGCAGGAGGAGCTGTCTATGTTGCCTATGACTCTGGTCTCTTGGGGAACAGTGAACAGGGCTCAGAGGCTCTGCGTAAGGCCAAAGCAGTAATCCCACCTGCCATGGAGGAATGGATGAAGTACTTTGGTGTGGAGGTAGAAGATGCACGTTATAAATAACTAGGTCTTCCTGGATCAGTGCCACTAGGCCTAATACAACAGAAAGTAAAATGGTTTTATAAAGTCGTTGCATTAAATGGATCAGTGCTGCAGACAGCAAATTTGATGACTTGTACCATAAATGTGTAGAAATTTCTTTTTGCTTTCTAGCCTTTCTCTTATGAGATCAGAAACGCTCTAATGCATACATAGTTACAGTACAATCATGACATCATAAACCTTTGTGAGGCATGTACTTTGATTCGTGGTAATGTATGCTGCAGACCTAACTAGCTCTGGAGCAGGTTGTGGTCTAGATTAGAGATCATCAGGTTGAAAATATAGTCAATAGCAATTCTTCAGATTCTCCTGTGCATTAAGTCTGGTAACTGAGACTTACCAGATTTAGGACTGAGACTTTATTAAAGTAAATATCTTTTCCAGCATTGCTGACCAAAGTGCTTAAAGTGCTCATGCTCTTTTAATACTACTGGACTGGCTGTTTCTTCCCACACACACTCACACCGCTCCTTTAGCTTCAACACTGCTGTTGCTTTATGTCTGTATTATTTAATCTTTTCAAATGTTTCAGATATCATAGTTGTAGCTTTGTAAGATCCGCCCATGTTTTTGACTGGTCGACTGCTGCCAACATCTATTTGAATACACTCCTAGCTAGATTGTTAAACTCTGGCTTGGCTTAGTCGATAAACACCTTTGTAATTCTGCTTATCTTGGTTCTCAGTGTTATTTTAATTGAAGTCAGATAATGGAAAGATATCCAGGGAATGCTGAAATTGCTTCATAGTACAGGTCCTAGTTCTGCTGACAAACCAGTTCAGGTGATTTATTCACAAACTCCAACAAGCAAGTTTTCACTTGAAACAGTGTATAAGTGCGTCTGCTCTTCATGATTTTACTTTAAAACTTGATTTGTTTATTTATTCATTTTTTTTTTTTTATTACTGTTTTGCACTGGACAGAATAGTAGTCGTATTGTCCAATTATAATAAACACTTTTCAAAATTTATTTACTTATTTAAACTTTTTATCTTTTTCTAAATCAGACCTAAGATAAATTAGACCTTACAAGGAGTGTTTTCACCTATACTAATAGAAAGTCTGTATACCAGCTCCAATATGTTGTTAACAGAAAATAATGCACCCTATCCCTCTTGTCAGGCTCAGCTTCCAACCATACCTAAGATTGAGTTCTCTCCTGTTGACGCGTGGAATTCTGGTAAGAATTCAATTATTTGTTCCTTTTTTTAAAAAAGCAAGGGTAAAAATTTGCTGTGGTCACAAGTTTGGCACAGACTTTCTTTTGTGTATTTCACTTGTTACATGTAGTAATAGTTTTAAAATTGTTTGGAGGCAGTAGTCTGTTTTAAAATAATTTTGGCATTGGTATTACTTTTGGTCTAGATCCTATATTGACCCTGATTTTTCACTATCTAAAACCTAAACTTCTCTTTTTTTCTTTTGTTGCAGGCGTACAGTGGACGATTTCAAATCTTTCTGAGGCCCCGACAAAAGCCACTGAATACACAAGTCAGGGGCTACAGTACTTGAAGGACCTCACAAAGTGAACATGAACTCTCTGGACAGCCTCACATTATCAGTCCTTTTGACTTTTGCACTTCAGAATGACATTACTTCTTCAAATGTTGAACCCTGCCATAAGAATGATGCAACACACAACATCAAAGAAAACTGCTAGATTAAAAGCAAGGAGGCTACTCTGCTGAATGGGTACTGTGGTTTTCTAACTGATAGTGGCCTTTGATGGGAGATGTACATAATGGGAAGGAAATTTTATTTTTAAGAAGGCAATCTTTCATTTTGTGTATACCTCAAAATTGTGTATACCAAATAGTTGCTATCGGCACTGTCCAGCAGAGAGTGTTATTCTGCCCTCACCTTGCCCAAAAAATGTTAAGAATATCTGTGTGTGTATATATATGCAATTTCACTATTTGTGAGCAATATATCAATCTTCAAACATCTTGTCTCATCTTTAGTTTGATCTATCAAGTCATATCACATATAGTGCTCGGTCGACAAAAAGTGTAAGACCATACAAATGTGCAAAAATCTTTATTAATCATGACAATAATAATGACACAGTTCACTGTTGATTCTGCTACAACTTGAAAAGAGGGGGAGATGACCTAAAGCGTGAGGAAGAGCACACGCAGCCATTTATGATCGGTTGACTCCACTGTACACGATGCAGACACACTCCACAGCACCGCGAGCGGCGATGTTTAGTGTCAACTTTTTTTTTTAAATCTAAATGTAAGAAAACATTACCCATTCTGCCACGTGTTATCACTTCTTCACATCCAAATAAAGTTTATAAACCTTGAGGCACTGATCAGATATGATGCATGCAGAAAAAAAAGGCAAAGGCTGAAAAGACTGAGGCCAGTTCAGCAACTACAACACGGTAACGAAAGCGAGATGACGTCCACGTGGCAAGCGAAGAGCCTTAGCTTCCCAAACATTGATTATGCCTAATCTTAAAATAAATTTCTGATCCCAGTGAAGCTCTTCATTGAATTTTTCTTTAAGTTTAGGACTATGTTTAATCCATGAGTGGGAAACTGGCTGCTCGTATTTGCAAGACTATGAGTTCCAAAGGGAGGAGTCGAGATTAGTCACTGAACAAATCAGTTGATTACAATCTTTAAATATTCATATTTTAATTAATGTACATTACTTTTTCACAAGAAGCTGGTGTGGCGTTTTAATGAGATACTCTTAATAAACTGAAGTAATCACAACAGGCAACATTACAAGTAATTTTACACAAGTTTCGTAGATTAAATACTGTCATTATGTACTGTAGCTATTTTTTTTCTTTTACATGCGTGTATCTTAAAGCGAAATTCTGCCACATTAGCATTTAAGGAAACACCGTTTGGGGGAAACTATTAAAGTGTACCATTACCTAAATATGTAAACTTTATACAATAAAGTGCTCCCCACAATGTCAACAGTGAGATTATACAACCAATGATAATGTGCATTATGTTTGACGAACTTTTTCAAACTGCATTAAGAGCACACACACATCACTAATACAAATTGATAGTTTTAAAACTTTGCTCCAGCTGTCAGTGTTACCACTTTGAAATGAGGACCAAATAGCAGCCTCCCTGGGCAAAGATTAATTAAGAGCACAGTCAGAGAAATGGTAAGTACAGTATTGCAAAAAGATAAGCCGGAAGGCACTTTATGATATCAGTGGGATCAAATTCATATGCAAATTTAGTACTTTAATTACCAGCACAAACATGATACTTGCACTCTTGATGTTAGGATTTAGGGCCTGTGCAGAAACCTTCCTTCAAGGTCATGTTCAGCACGAATGGCATATGCAGCGTGCAGCCACTTCATCCAGCTATGAAAGCTGAAATACTTCACGTGGTGCAAAGGTGCAGGAATATGTTGGCTTTTAAAAAGAATTGGCCTCAATTAAGATGGTTTTACAATGCAACTTCCATTTATCTCTTCTGGTGTTAAGTTAATTTGATATTCTTTGATGAACACACACACACACACACATTTGCATCTGCCCATTTCTTTTAATAACTACCTCAGTGGAAAACACCTAGTCCATAGGTGTGTGTCAACACTTATCGTCAATTTAGATAAGCCAACATAAAGTGCCCTTTGAAAGGAGATATTAAGCAGCTTCGTTAGTCACTGGAATTTAATTAAGAGGAGCACTTTTGGGGACAGACGTGAAAGTGCTGCACAAATGTTGTGCAGTGCAATCTTTGACTTTGTCCAGACTTTAAAGTTGTATTTAAAGTAGAGCAGCAACAACAAAACAAAAACTTTCTCTCTGCAAAACAGCCAAGCATAGCAGTGCTACAGTTATGCTGTGCATACAAATAAAAAAAGAAAAAAGAAATGAAAAGAGATTGCACTGACTTCTGAACAATAAAGCATGTCAGCTATTTAACCCTGTCTAGGCTTTGAATAACAGATTGTAGCAATGAGTGGAACAGTAGCAGGTGGAGAGATGTCGGGGAATTAGATAAAAGTGTCCACTATCTCTAGGTGGTTTTGACAAGGTCATAGACATGAATATGAAAGTCATCGTCATATTTGATGTAGTAGACAGAGGGCTTGGCCGGGACCTGGTAGATGACCAGGCCTGTTCTTTTCACACCCTTGTCAGTAACGTACTCCACTTGTTTCCCAACGAGACTCTCCGTCTCTTCTCCTGGCTTCCTGTCTGCAGGCAACAGGTGCTTGTTTTCTGTGGAGAGAGGTTAATCATTACAACACCAAGATTATAATTACAGAAGAGATGAAGAGTAAAATAAAATCCTGCTGCTGGTGAAAGCTGTTGATAAAAAGAAAAAAATAATGGTGTCATTGTCATAATTTTCACAAATTAAAAAAAAACTTACTTTGTTTTTATACTTGGCTTTTTATACTCGTACTATAAAGGTCAAAGCATTTTGCATAAAGATCTCTCTATTTGCATTAAACTTCACTTGAAGTTAATGTGAATACCTATCTCTGACAAATCAGATGTGGAAATTTCTTCACATGCTGGAAATGGTCGTTTAGTGATACTATTATTCAATCCTTGGGCTTTATTTACACAGCATGGCAGCTATATTAGGTATCTGTAATACTCAAATTTAACTCAAAATACTTTATTTTAAGGGAAATAAAGTAGGGAAATGCTGCTCACTTCCTTCAAAACGCGTCATTCTGCCAGAGTGCTTCTGTAAGTAAATAATAATGGATTGCATTTATAAAGCGCTTTACAATTCCACTATTCATTCACTCTCACATTCACACACTGGTGGAGGCAAACCACAGTTGTAGCCACAGTTGCCCTGGGCAGACTGACAGAAGCGAGGCTGCCGTATCGTGCCATCAACACCAGTAGGAGGTAGGGTGAAGTGTCTTGCCCAAGGACACAACAACCAGGACGGACGGAGCTGGGGATTGAACCGGCAACCTTCCGGTTACAAGACGAGCTTCCCAACCCCGTGAACCATGGTTGCCCCAAATACGACTGATTAGATGATGAACACAGACACCGATCATGTTTTTGTTTGTTTTTTTAGCTCACATGGTATTCATGCCCAACAGAAGAAAAATGTATCAAATGATCTTCAAAGTGTAAAATTGATTTATATACATAAAATGGGCCCAGTTTAACTCATTTCTAATGCCATAGGACAAAAGTGTTTATAAATTTTTACAGAAATTAGCAATACCTGCTTCAGGCAGAATCCTGAGGTCTCCTTCAGCATAGTCGTCCCACAGCTGGTACATATAAAGAACGGGTCCTTTTCATAAGTAATATAATACCAGTTGGTCATAACTGGTGCTTTGGAGAGGACCATGCCTCTCCACTCATTCTTCTCTCCATCTTCCTTTTCAAATAAATGCTCCACCGCTTTGCCAACCAACTCCTCCGCCCCTGGAGGTGTCTTGACTTTATTGTTTACTGTGGAGACAGAAGCATGAAAGAGAACAATACAGACCCAGCTGTAACTCCAGAATCTGAAGTATGAACTGATCAAGGCAGACGCTGACTTACCAACTTTTTCTGACAACACTTGTAGGTTGGACACTCTCTCATCCTTGAACAGCTCAATGCCATAGACGCAGTCAAAGCCATCGTATTTCACCATGAAGAGGGAAGGATTTACACAAACTCTGTCAAGTACTGTGCCCTTCCATTTGCTCTGATTCCCCCTCTCACGCCAGTTATGCTGAATGCGGACTCCCAGAATGTAGTTGGGGTCTGGGGTTACTGCGTCACTCAGTTCCCCGCTGCTCCGTTTTCTGGTAGAAACAAGACGAAGATGCAAGTCTGTGAGCCTGAGCCTTACACACAGGTCCAACAACCTAACCTAATTTGCTCTTTTAAAAATGCACCCGAGTCAAAATACAGATAAGATAAGATAAGATAGAACTTTATTAATCCCTCGGGTGGGTTCCTCTGGGAAATTATGTATGTATGACCTTTGTCACATTTCTTAGCTATTTGTTCATTTCTGTGGCTTCCACATGATTAAAACACTTGGGGGGTTTCTTGCAGTGACTTCTTTGTGACAACGACGGCACAATGTGACATCAAATACATACAGCAGACGCAGATCGACATACCTGCCCCTTTTCTTGGACATGCCTCCAGAAATGCAAAGGTTACTAATTAAGAGAAAGACAGGACAATTAGTTTGGCTGCCAAACTGACAAGCACATGTATGATGATTATACAGTAAGAGATGCCACACACACATATATTTATGAAACAGATGCTGCCTGTTCAACAGACGGACAAGTCCTCGAGCCAATGAATTTGCATGACGGAATAACTTCCTGGGTATTTATTGACACAACATTACCATAGAGGTCACTGTATACTAAGACAAGACTGTGTGTGTTATAGCTGACACCAAGCCTCCCTCATCTTAGGATCACAAAGTCTTAACAAAACCGACTGACAACTTTGAGAAAAGCCGTTTCACTGCTATGTGCGAAATTACAGGATTTAATGTTAGAAGGTTACAGTGTGGCGCAAAGGACTCACCAAGTTACACATAAAAGCTGACTGGCAAGGCCATTAGACCCTTTACGTCACATGTACCCTACCTGTCCTGGACTAAAGCCAGCACAACGCCTCTGTAGGTTATCGGAAACAGTCTTAGCTCTACCTCAATGCAGATGTTACTGTAGGTAAGTGTAGGCGGACACATACATCCAGCACACTCTTCGTTGTCTCTAATGGCAGCTAGCAAACACAGCTAAAAACTGTGTGTTTACAGCCTTGTTCTCTATGTGGAACATATTTTCATTACCTTTAAGCAGATTTCATATCAGCATTGTGCAGTTCGTCTGGCAGAGAAATGTTGCCACACACCAACCCGCCTATGTAAAATCTCGCGAAACCTGTGGGAAAGGGAAAGGAGGGGGAGAAGACTCTATATCCCGTCAAGCCGTGAGTCACCAGAGCCGTAGAGAAGAATGAGAGCAGGGCGCGGGGAGTGATGGGAAATGATGTTTTGGTTTCCGCGAAACTGACTTTTTTTTTTTTTTTTTTACACAAAACATAAACAGTTTCAGACAGTGATTCGTGAATACTGTCAGCTCGTGTGTTTTAGAAATATGAGAAAGATAGCTACACAACACAGCCAACAAGCAGGAAAAATGAGGTCAGAATTTTCTATGACGCAGGAGTTGCCTATGGTTTCAATTAAAGGGACAGACGGTATTTGTTTTAGTTTTTTGGCGTCACTGTTTGAGCTGTGAGAGCATTTAGTTTGTAAAATTAGAATATTACTCTAAAACATGGGAATTTAAAGCTTACAACAATACTTTATAACAATAAGGAAGCTGTTTTAATTAGATGGACTTAAAATATTGTAAAAATAAATGTGCCGGCTTAGAATTAGGAGTTAATAGGTGTGGACAAATATTAGACACATGACAAGGACACTTGCATAGTGTGACCTTCATGTTTTGGGCTGCCTTAATCATCTGAATCAATCTTAGCAATCTTAATCTTATTTTAACATATGCACAGAGCAAGTAACATATATTCAGTATGATGTTATATAAGCTTTGTAGTGTTTCCCATAAAGCCATTACTAGCTGCTCTCCCCCTAAAGGTATGTTAGAGTACTGCAGTTGTTGTTGGGGTTTTTTTGGTTTGTTTATTTGATTTTTCAATATATTTTTTAAAAGTCAGTCAAGCATAATTTCAAAACACATTTTAAAAAGTAAAAACTGGAGGTTAATTAAAAAATAGTATCCAATAAAATATTCTAGAGAGGAACAAATATAGTCAGGCTCAGTGTGGAGTGAGTTTTCAATATTTAACGGCAGAGACAAAAATGTTATATGGTTGAAATGCAGCAGTTATGAAGATGACAGTGTTGGAGGCCTTCTTTTTTTGTAATACCTAAAAAAACAAAAACAAACAAACAACCGGAACAGGATGCAGCTGCCTCCCTGTGACTGAGAATGACAAAGATATTCAGTGAGCCTGTGCTTCATGCTAAATATTTTAACTCTTCCGTGAGGTATCATTATACTAGTATCACTGCATGATGAGGAAAATGATTTGCATGAATTGAGTGTTTCAATATTTAGTGTAATGTTCGGTACGCCATCCAGCTTTTTCAAAATAAATAAATAAAACCACAATGTACAATAACTCTCGAGCAAAAGTATTTTATTTTAGATTGTGCTCTTATTTGAAACACATTGAAGTGCACCAACAGCAAAGAAGAAGAGAAAAGCATGCATGAACCTTTCCTAACCCATCTGAAAGGCACACCTAAAGCAAAAGGATATCTGTGATGAGTGCAGAATTACAAAAATCAAGGCTACAGCACCATAATCCAATCAAGCGTTGCGACACATTATCAGTTAGTCTAACTGGCCTAATTGTCATTCAACACCCTTTGAATCCATGCCCGAAAAGAAGATATGCGTGTATAGACATCGGGGGTTTGGGGGTCTCCACATCGCCTCCCAGAGAAAGAGATAACACCTGCTGCATCTCCATCGCACACCAGCGGTCCACCTGAGTCTCCCTTGAAGAGAAATGATAAAGTACACTTAAGTACACTTACGCTTTGTTTAAAATACAGGTTTTTCAGGTTTTCCCAGTACTCAGACACTTTAATCTCTTACTGAGCAGAAGCCTTGAAGGCTGTGGGAGCCCACACCGCAAACCATCGACTGTGTGATGGGAACTTGTCCCCATCTCCTTTTGCATATCATTTGTGGCAGAGTGGTGACGTTGACTTCCTGAAGCGTTTTGGTAAGGTGTTGTTATCGCCTATATCGCCCCAGCCTGCTGTGATGCACTGGCTGATTTGATTCAGCCTGCCAGGTTTCAGAGAGATCACCTGAACTGCTTGAGACACTTGGGCCCTCCGGTTCAGCTGAGAAGGAGATCAACAACAGGAAAAATACTTTAAAAAGCTGAACGGTGTTAGTATTTGCATAACCTTAACATCACAAGTTATGTTTCTGTGCAAATTAGAAATGATCATGATCATGTTAGCAGACAGCTGTTGTTCTCACCTTGAGGAGCATGATATCATTTTTGTGTCCATCATAGTCTGGATGCGGAAAAGATTTGACCACAAGGAATTGCTGCTTTGTTGGCTCAGTACCCGTCAGGGAATCAACTCCCAGCACGACTGTGGGTATTCTACAAATTGCAGCAACATTTATTATGTTATCAAGAATCCAAAGTTAATAATTTTTCTTCCATAACGAAGAAACCTATTATGATATTGAGAAAAACTGATAGAGGGGTTTTTTTGTCAGTTCTGCAAATGCTGCCGATTAAAGCAAACACTGAATTCGTACCCACGTGTCTCACAATGTGCTGCTGTGAGTACAAAGTCCTCTCTCACTAGTGCTCCTCCACACAAATGGCGACCTTGAAGTTGCACTGAGGCCATGTAGGGGAGTGAGTGGGGGGCAGCGTCTCGGCCTCCAATAATCCGAGAACCGTCAGCTCCTGAAACACAAACTAAGACGTCATTTGTTTATAGCAATCCAGGACAATATGTAATTAGTAGTAGGATAGGTAGCAAATAAAATATGCACAGTGTTTGTCAGATTTTAGATTATTTTTTATCAGAAAGACATGAAAGCTTACCACTGAGGACAAACAGCAGAAGGAAGAATCTGGCTACCATGGTCACTGGTGAAATCCGCACTAAAGTTTAGGGAAGCAAATGTCTCTTTTCATGTTCTTTTGTATTGCTTAAGTGTGTTTGCTAACATGCTGTAAGGTGTCTTGTAAAGGTCTTGGTAAAAATTACAAAACAAGGTTTCATAATTGATGTTAATGGGCAGTGGTATTTGAGCTGTAACTAGATGCACACAATGCTCAGGAAGTTTAGTTGTTCATAATTGTTCCTCCCTAATTCTAGTTTGCAGTTAACTACAAGTACTAGAGGTGGACGGATCGATTCAAGTATCGACAGCATCGATAACAACACTAGTATTGGTATCGAAATTCAGCGTGTAGCCCGCTGAACTCTGTTAATTATTTCTTTGGAAAAAATAAACCTCAAACATGCACTGTGAAAAATGTCAGAATCTTTTTGTGTGCGTTAGAGAAAGAAAAATGTAGATTCCAGGTCTCCAAAAACCCAGTTTTAAAACACATGAAAAGCTCAAAGGTGTGTTTTGTTGTGTTAACTAGTTATTGTGGAAAGTAAAAAATCACACTTATATAGTGATGATGAAAATGTGTTCAGAATTTGCAAATTGAGAATTCATCTCATTAATCAACTTCAGCAATACTGGCTCTGTATTTACTTGTTATCAGATCGATACTAAAATTTGTAGTGTGGCGCAGCACTACTGTGAATGAGGGAAAGTGTGAATGTTGGACATTTTTGTTGGAATGTCCAGGCAATGTTAAATGACAAGATATACGTGTTCAAATAGCATCAATTAACACACAACTTCAGATTTTTTATTTCTATATGATAATATTCATGACTAAACAATAAGAACAAGTACTCTGATGTTGTCTGAGTTTTTGTGCAACGTATCGGTATCCGATCAGTGTCGTCAAGACCACCCTGAATTTTACTTGGTATCGGATCGGAAAGGAAATAAGTGGTATCGCACATCACTAATAAGTCTGTGTTTGAGTGTTTGTAGTTACGGGTAATATGGGATACTTACACTTCCCCTTTTGTGTGTTGAAAAGAGTGCTCTTAAGAAACGCTGCGATTTTGTATAGCACAATATACCACACCCCAAAAATACTTCTGCTTTAACCTAAAACTGGGTTTCTTGCTGCATGCATAAGATTTTAAATTTTAGATGCATGCTCCCGAAAAACTGTAGGAAACTGATTAATGCACTTCCTGTGATTTTGCATTTATAGAATCAGAAATGTGATGTTTGAGAAATGGCAGGAAGAGAGAATATCCCTTTAGTAACAGTAACAACATGTTTGTGGTGAGCTCAACTGAACACCGACAAAAAAGTTCTTTATTGTTGGTTCATTAAATAAAAAAAATAAAGCTCCAAAGCAAAATTGAACTTTGAGAAAACTTAATAATAAATACAGCAACTCTAAGTTTGGTTTTATTTTTGCATCTTGTTAAACAGCAGACAGCTGAGAAAAAACAAGAATTACATTAACAACAGGTGCACTAGAGGTGGCAACAATGAGACAATTCCCAAAACAGGAATAGTTTTACAGCTGATTCGCATTTTTTCCATCCTCACCTTTTTAATTTTGCATGCGTCTTGGGTCAGTATGCATATGGATCTCTGATTCATGAAGTGAATCAGATATTCTATCAGACTCTACTCTCTGTGTAATGTGCACTGGGTACTAATTGCACTGGTAACCAGTGTTGGTCAAGTTACTTGAAAAAAGTAATCAGTAACTAATTACTGATTACTCCCCCAAAAAAGTAATCCCGTTACTTTACTGATTACTTATTTTCAAAAGTAATTAATTACTTAGTTACTTAGTTACTTTTTAAAAACACGATTTACAACCTGAAGAGGTGATAAAGTGATAGATCTTTCAGCCCAATTCTACTTTTTCTACATAATCCATCATACAAAATGTAATCAAATGGAAAAGTCTCTTTTTTTAACTTGTTTTATCAGTTTTAATCTTTTAACTTTATGCATCAAGCAAAACATTTAATTATATGCAACATTCTCTGACTTGAATAAATTAGTTTAACATTTAAACCTATTTTATACACATTCCAGCACATAAAATAAAATATTTTTTGTGTTTTCACTCACTCTTTCAAACAGATGCAAGTAAAACACAGCAGAAAATAAATAAAGTCAAAGACTCAGCAGTCCTTTTGCTCTATTTTCACCTGTAAAGCAGGAGCAGGGTAGGCGGAGGGTTACCCTGGTGCAGGTGTGCTGCGGTCAGTTGAAGAATCCG